TGTCAGGGCTACGGAGGTGCTGGGGCCAGGGCAGGAGTGGGTGAGCAGCGGGCAGAGGAGGAAGGCTGGGGGCAGCCGGTGGCTGTTAAGCCAGCCTGGCTGCCGGCAGAAATGTCTCTGAAACTGCGCTTTGACTATTTTTTGACAGAAAAATTTCCCGCACAGCTTTGCACAGCTGGTCTTGTGAAACCAGTCAAGTCAGCCGCCACCTGGGTGGTTCAAATCACGGTGCGGTCTGTTTTCAGGTACGCTAGGTTTTCAAGTTTCGGGATCTCAGGCGAGCTGGCGCTGCACCCTCCTTGAGCTCCCAAAGAGTAGCGCCGAGCCAAGCGGGCGGCTGGCCGACGTTGTGGAGGCCTGGCACCATGGTGGGTTAGCGTGAGGGGGCCGGCTGATGGTAAGTATTTGTGGAAAGCATAAATATTTGCGTGGCGCTTGTAATTATTGTCAGACTGTGATGTTCACCCGGTGAGGAGATGTAAAGCTAGAGAGGGAGCCGGGGTGGCTGTACTTGCTGCCGGACTTGTGGGAGCCTTGGGATGAGAAGGACTTGAACCAGACCCTGCTGCAGTGTGACAGGCTCCTGCCAGAGCAGCCCGGCTCTTGGATGCCGTTGCGCTGGGCTCTTGGGAAGCCCGGCCTTGGAAGGATCACAGGACTTTGAAGGAGCTCTGTGGATACAGACCAGGATTTTCAAGGCCTGCCTGCTGGCAGTGATGGCAGACCTTGGGTTGTCTGCGTTGTCTCCGTCCTGAAAACTGCACAGCGCTTTCCTTCTGCAGAACCTGACCTTCAGAGGAGCTTTTGTTTAACAATAAGCTAAATCTGTAAAAGATTTATGACATTACTTGCCTTTTCTTCACAGCCCAGTTTTTTAACATGGGAAGAATTTGTTACCAGCTTGCACTTCTGCACTGGTGGGTCCTGAGCCCCTGGGCAGATCCTCGCTGCGGTCAAAAGGCAGAGGCGAGGCGAGGTGGGCCATGCCCACAGTAAAGCATGCGGCATCAGAGGGACTGCGGAGTTTAGCTGCACGTTGCCCAAACCTTTCCACAGAGAACTCATTGTATATGTGGGCTTTGAAGTCTGCCACCCAAAGATAACATTCTTGAAACCTCTCAGGCCAGTAGGTTGTGGCCAGCATCTTACTCTTTGGGACAGAGACTGTATTGATTTATATTTGGATAACACCTATTTCATCGTGGCCCACTCTGGAATGTACTTAGTCATAACCGGAGTTTAAAAAAGAAAAAAAAAAAACCAACAAAACAACCAACAGAACCCCCAAACCACCAAATTTGGGACTGTGGCTGAATAACCTAACCAACTTTCTGTGGTTTCCATGGCTATTCAGAATGCTTAAAGGAGTGCATCTGAAAAAAGATGGAGACATTGGTATTTTTCACGAATATTGCCAATTTATAGGGTATGTGCTCAGTATTAGAAACTATCATTAAAGTCTCTCTGAGTAATGTGGAACAATGCATAAATGAGCTATATATTCTATTTAAGTATTTGTTGCTTTAAATAGCAGCCCTAGGGACTCAGGACTGGAATAGCAGACACATCTCTGGACGTAGATGAGGTTTCACTGGCAGAGCTCTCTAGCACCTGGCTTAGGAAAATGTTGTTCCCCTTACAAATGCCAAAGCTGCATACCTTTTTACTTCTGTGCTATAGTTTTTAACGTTATGGTGAGTATGGCCAGCAGTTGAAGTTCATCATGGCTGCTTTGGAGTTTTTGTTTTGAAATGTTATTATTCCATTTGTTTGCTGAATCGGTAACTTGCCATAGCTTCCCTATTTCTTGGACTTGTATTGATGCTGTAAAAGTTAACTTAATTTCACTACATATAAAAAAATTGCCATTCAGCCACCAGTGCCTTCTATTTTGAAAGTACACGTGCACGATGTGCTTGTGCACATAGCAGTTTTAATTTCCAGCTTTGGTGCCAACACGAGCCCATTCTGTTTATTCCCCACAGTTGGAGCTTTGTGTGTTTTGGGGAAGATTACTGTTTTGCAGCAGCAGCAGTTTTAGCAGCTGTGTGCTCTGAGGCCCCCATCTCCTCTGGCGTGAGATCCGGTGGTGAACTGAGAGAAGGGCAGCGTGGGAGCCGGGCTGGACTGTGCCTGTTCTAGGTCTTCTGCAAACTGAAGAGCCGTTGTCAAGCGAGCCAAGGGCCCATCCACTACCTGCTTTCTGTGGGGCTAAAGGCTGGAAGCCTGAGCTTTGGTTGTGCAGCAGATAGTCATGGCAACGAAATGATAAGCTGGGAGGCTTTTCAAGACACTTCTTCAAAATGATTTGGGGCTCTTTGATAAATCAGTCTGGTTGTGAGGCTCTGTGGAGTTATATCAGATATGCCTGTCTGCAAACACACATGTGAAACCCCTTTCTCCGAGTCAGGCAGTCATCAATGCTGGAAGTGTCCTGGGAGGAAAATAGTGCGTGGTGATTTGGCGCCTGAAGGCACGTACAAGCCAGTGAAGTTTGCCTGGGCAACTCAAATGTGGCACTTGTGCATTTTGAATCCCTTGGCAAGGGCTAAGAAAAGCTATCCATCTTGTACAACTGCTTGCTAGAAAGCAGGGGAGTCCTCTGTACATCCCTGCAGCCCCTCCAAGGGCTGAGGAAACACTGGGAAAAAGCAGCACACCACCCCTGGGCTGCACACGAGCCACAGGGAGCCCCTTGAAAATGGGAGTGCTGAGGGGTGAGGTTGCGCTGGGCTGGCAGCAGTGAGACCTGGAAGAGGTTGCCTGCTCCTGGCTGCCTGCTGATGTCCAAAAATCCCTCCTGTGGTTGCGGTTGCTGGGTTAAGCACAGGAGCCATGTGAAGCTGCTGCCTACTGCAAGGAAGAGCCTGGCCAAGGACAGTGCTGCCTTATGTATAAAAATAAGGCTTATATTTTTATATATGACTTTCCTAAAAGTAGAAGGCAGGGAAGGTGAATCCTGCTTCTTTGAAAGTTAATGATACTGTTGACAGCAAGGAAATAATGAGCATCAATCTAGATCCCTTTCAGGATTGATTCAGTACCTTTTTCCTTGTTGAATAAGGCAATTACATACTTTCTGCTATGCTTGGTGGACCCCCAGTTGCAGGTAGAAAAGAACTAAAATACACAAGGCATTCTGTCCCTAATAACATTTAAACATTTGGGATGGTATCAGCTAAAGTGTGATTTGGTATTATTTTCCTTGCAGCTGTGCATTTTTTTTCCTTGCCATCGTGCACGTGGAGTCACCGGTTTCACCTTCGCGAAGTGTATCTAAATAACCATGAAGCTGCATTTCTTCTCTGGCTTTCTTCGGTACAAGATGGTGCCATTGTATTTTGGGTCCTTCAAGCTCAGCTATCATTTGCTTTGTTTGCAGTTAGCCAAGTATTTCCAGATTGTTTCTCTACTGCCCAAAATATTTAGAACTGTTAATGTAGCTTTTTGTTTGTTGATTTGTTTCGGGGTTTTTGTAGCTATTGTCTGTTTATAAAGCCTTCAGCAAAACTATCCCAAAGGGTGACTTTAACAGTTTTCCCTCCCCCCTTTAATTTTCTCAAAAACTTTAGTGGCATAAAAAGTTCTGTAGCAAAGAAAAAAAGTTTTTTGTCTGTGTGTGTACCAGAAAGGGCATATTAAAAAGGACAGTATGGTTCTGTTGACTTGAAATGGATCTGTACGGCTTGTTTTGAAACACAGCCTCCAGCTTGCCTTAGAAACAAAATAGTTTTGTCTCTATGTTAAAAGCAAACAGTTGTGGAGTCCATGCGGGTTTTGTGCAGGTTTGTTTTTTCACTGGGGGGGGCGGAGAGTGTATTGCAGGAAATAGACCCTTACCGTCGCAATGCCTGCTCTGCTGGGTGAAACACGTCAAGACCACGAGCTGCACAGAGATAGCAAAGAGCAGGGTTAAGAAATTGGAAGCGGTTCCTCCTCATCCTCTTCATTCTCATCCTTAGCGTGTGGAAAGCTATAAACTGGTGTGCTTAAACCTAGTGACTTTTGATAAACAAGACAGTCTGCTTCCACTTAAATACTGCTCAGCTGGGAGGAGAGGACTTAAGAAATTCTGGAGTTTTACAGCAAGTCTCCTAGCTTCCCCGCCTGACTTTTGCAATAGAAACCTAAAGGCAGTGATGGAATGACTTGTGTTTTTTGTCTTACTTTCCAGCTGGCCTGCTGCTGCGGTACTGCCGCCTGTGCCTTGTGCTGCAAATGCTGCCCCAAGATAAAACAGTCAACCAGCACCCGCTTCATGTATGCGCTTTACTTCATCCTGGTGACTATCATCTGTTGTGTCATGATGTCAACAACAGTGGCTAATGAAATGAAAACGCACGTAAGTAAGAAAAACCCACTGCTGCCCCTGGAAAGAAACGGGGCTCCTTCCACAGCTCTTCATGTATAGGGGCGCTCCCTCAGAAGAGGCAGTGAATTCCCTCCACCCGTCCACTTCCAAACCCAGATGGGATGATTTTCCGTGCTCAGCCTCTTCTGTTGATTGCTCACCCATTGTGTATGTTTCACAACAGGAAGAGTCGAGGATCACAGGACTCACAGCCTTCCTCCTCTTCCGTTGTGTGGAAACCTGCTGCAGTGAACCCATCCCAGGTTTGCTGCATGGGTAGTGTCACTAGAGACTGTCAGGGAATATGTTATAGTAGAACAAACTGGTTCAGTCTTAACGTTGAGTTTGTCTCTGGCAACTTGTTTAGCAGCAGAAGCAGCAAAATGGAAAAGAACTCTTCAAGTGTTGCATTTATAATTTCAATTTTGTGTTCTTGGTGCTGTGTGACAGACTACTGCAGTGCACAGGGCTGTGGATCCTTTACAAAGGGTTTTCTTCAGTGTGCATTTAGTCATCGTGTTTACATGGCCTCTAACCACAGCGATATTGTTCATCTCTAATTGTCTTTTTAATTAAAAAGCTTCAAAAGCATGAAAGGCGCTGTGGCTAAAACTAGATTTTAAAACTCAAGTTTCTTTCAGAGTCTTAATATAACTTTCCTAAGCTAAACGCTCACCAGCCTGCTTGCGGTCACACACTAGACCTGTTGTACCACATCTTTGGTTTGGTTTCTTAAGCCACCCAAGTTGTTCTTAGTAGCACAAATCCTCTCTCTCGCCCTCTACAAACTACAAGAAGAGAAGTCTGTTTTTAAGTAGAGGGAACAATGGCTGGATTGCTTAATTCTTAAAAATTAAGTTTCTGCACCAAACTCTACATCGGACCTGCTTTCAAGTTGTGGATGTGCTTGCTCTGGAGGTTCAGAAGGCTTCCCTCGCTGTGGGCATCTAGTTGTTTTGTGCCACTCTCCCAAGAGGGAGTGCTGGTGGGTGCACAGTTAAGGCTGTTTCCTCGTTTAACCAGTTGCTGGTCAAGTTGATGCCCTGCTTACCCTCTGTGCTTGACTTCCAGTTGCCTGTGAAACGCTTCCCTCCGCAGCAGCCCAGATCCAGAAGCTGCTGGTAGAATCCTGTGCCTGCAACACAGATGAACCGGCGGGCTTATGATGGGGCTACTTCGAGGGTTTCTGTGCTCTGCTGCCAGTGACCTTTCTGTCTTCCCATTGTACCCTCTTTGTATGTTCCGTCCTATTTTTTTTCCATTTAATAGCGCTTTGCTTGAGTTACCCTAGTGCCACCTTCTTACCCCCAGCTACCAGAAGCTGCTGACAGCCTTGCAAGAGCACCCAGTACAGACATGATGCTTGCCTGTGAGATGCGACTTAAAAAGTATTCAACATGTGTGTGCTGAAATTGCTTGCCAGGAATTACTTTGACTTACTGGATGCTTAGCTTGGCAATAAAGTGAATAACCCAAGGAAATCAAGAGTGTGGGAGACAAATTACGTGCTCATATCCAAATTTCATAAAGTCGTTTTCCATCAATAGTGTGGTTTTAATGCAGCTTGTATCCCTAACAAAAAATACGCGCTCTTTGTCCAACAGAAAAGTGATTCAAGAAGCCTTCAACAACATGCTTTTCAGTATTGCCAAATTTCTTTTCCAGTTCATAGTCTTGAAAGCTCAGTGTGGGAAGAAATGGCACAAAGAGTAGCTGTTAGTGTGAAGTGGAAAGATAATCACCCTCTTAATTTAGAGCATTTAATGTCTTTGAATGGGAAGCGGACCATCTGAAAGTGGGCTTTCTTTATCTACTCTCTAATGTAATAATTATGTTCAGGGCTGTTAAAAGTTCAAAGACTCCTGAAGCTAATTCAGCCCAGTTGTAATAGAGTGCACCTTGAAAATATTTATTCAGACTAACCAGTCTCAGCTTCCCAATGATGAACTGTGTTTTGAAAGTGCTGGGCGCTTACTGATTCCTTTGCTGTTGGCTGTATCGTGGAGCTCTCCTAGCTCCTGAAGCCAGACTGTAAGCAAGCACTTTGTATGATGCTTCTAGGACCTCACCCTCTCTTTCTTGAAAGGAGAGAGAATTTTAAGTAATTTTAATTAGAATTTTTAAATTTTTGTATTAAAATAAACAAAAATAAAATTTTAGTGCAGTCCTTTGTGAGGCCGTAATCTTGGCAGGGAACCGTGTGTCTGCTTTATCAGTTTAGAGTTCAAATACTCATGCTGCTCTTATGTGAAAGGAATCTCTCTCTTGTCAGTGAGAGGTTTTTTTGGTTGATTGGCTATAAACTCCCAAGTCTAAAGTAGTTCTAAAAGTATTTATTGTACCACTTGGTCCTTTGGCATCATTTTGAGAGGAAGCAACAGCAAATATACGTCTCTTATGGACACCTTAAACAGAGACTTTTGAAAATGTTTGTATTTGTTCTGCAGTATTTATCTACCCCCATGGTTGTGCATTCTGTCTATTAAAACACATTTAGGATAGTTTTTCAGTTCCTGAAGTGCCGGACTCTGCAGGTGCCAGCCCAGAGCTGGGGACTTGCTCTGTGCCCTGCAACATGGCTGGGAAAATGAGGCACTGTCCCAGGGAGCTCAGCTTCCACATCCTCACCAAACCTGGCAGGCAGACGAAACCCTGTGTCCATGGGAGGACATGGTACCTGTGGAGTATTTGGTTATGGTTTCAAAACGTTGGTTCCTAATCTAACCAGGAGCATTTTGAGGACATGGTATTTTGTGGTGAGACTTAAGAATTGAACAGTGTCTTTTGGGGTGGAGTTTTTTCTCTGTTGTTTTCACTCGTCTTCCCCATCTCCTGAGCTGTTCCTGCGCCCACAGGACACCAAGGGAGGGAGGCCCAAGGGGTTAAGTTCTGAAAAATGTGCAGAGAAACCAAGGCATTTGTGTCTGATCTCTGGGGAAGTAGCAAGAGGCAGTGGAGGGGTGGGGAAGGGCGGTTTTGACCAGGAAAATATTTTCAGTAGTAGCATGTAGAATAGATTTCAGAGCAGCAAGGTTGTGTATCAAGGCAAAAGATGGAGTAGAGCATCAAGACATGAGAGCCTCAGTGATGGGGACAGAAAGACAGAAAAGACCAGTATGCAGTTGCACAAAATGGTTGAGAGACTTGACTCTGTTCCAAAATGAAGCAAAGCAGGACTCAATTTGAAGAATTGCTTCTATGCCTTGATCCATATATTATTTCTTTTTTCCAGTTATTCTGGTTTTTTGAAAAACGGGTACTGCTTTACTCACAAATGTTCTGTTGAAGCAAAACCTCGCATTTCACAGGCTTTGAAAGGATAATTGAGAGAAGAAAAGGAAGAGAATTGTTTTGGTCTGTCAAAATAGTGTTTTGATTTATTTTTTAATTACATTTTTAACGTTAAAGCTGTTTCAGAACTAATTGTTTCACCCTGAAAATATCCATGTCCTACTTAAATAATGAAAGGAAAAATAAGAAAGATATTTTCAGGAAAACAAACACCAGTAAAAACCAGTTCAGTTGTGTTGAAGCATTTCAGTTGTATATGGTTACATGTTCTGGCTGAGCATGCTTTCAGGCTTGTTTCCCCAGCCAGCTTTGTATCTTGGCCCTTAACTGCATTATAGTATGTTAAAACCCAGATTTGCTACCAAAAATTAGTTTTGTTCAGTGCAGATGCCCATTGCCTATTTCTGATAAGAATTTAGCCATAGATGCAAGATGGCATGTGTTTTGGTCCAATTGTTTTTTGTTTTTCTATTCCATTTCTCAGCCAGTCAAGACAGGTGGTTTTACCTGTTTTATTGCCCTTGCCTCCCCACCTACACAGATTTTCTTTCATGCTTCCTCCATTTCCATAACAAAGCTCATCTGCCACGTTCTCCCTCTGTTGGATGAGGACATCCTGATGAAAGCTGCCTCCTTTGGGCTCTTCAGGCCCATTTCTACATACTTCTTCCATCCTGTTCCCCCTCTGATGCTATTTCCCATGCTCCTGCATTCACATGTTTGGGTGCAGACCCAAGCTCAGAGATGGCCAAGCCGCAGCTGGCTGGAGCCTGGACGTGGCGTGGCCATGTTGGCTTCCTTCTTGCACTGCATTTATTTTGGGCGCCAGCAGCTCGCAGTGAGGGGAAAGCAAGTTCAGGGCAGTCTGTCCCTGTTTCTGTAGATGTTGCCGTCATCTCAGAGGGTTTCACTGCACTCGGCAAATTGCCGACTTTTCTGTGATAACATCATTGCTTGCGCAGCAGCCGAGGCGTTTATGTTATCTGAGCAGATACTGAGTTTCTGCAGCAAGAATGCTTTGTCCCCTGCTCAGAGGCCAAAGAATTTAGCCTATGTTGCTTTTAAAGGTACAAAAGTAGATATTTCACTATATCAAACTTGGCAAATAACTAATCTGTGACTTTAACAGCTGGCAAAACTACCCAGCAAATGGAAAGCCTGGTAAATCACATAGGCTGGGCAGGCTGCTCAGCAGCTGAACATGTTTCAGAGATAAAGACTTTAAAAAACAAACAAAAAAATTAAGTCTTTTTTAACTTTCAGTGAAGAAGTCACGTAAGCCTTGATAAATTGTTCCCAGCAGTAGACCATCCTCTCACGAAAACATGCCCGTTTCATTAGACCAGCCCTTTTGTCCCCAGCATTGTGCTCGCGTTTATTATCTGCCGGGGCCCCCAGGAGTTTGGTTTTATTCTTGTTTTGTTCCTTCAGGATCACGGGTCTCCAAAAAGGGCGTTCAATCCCACAGGACTATTGCCATCACTTATTACTGCATAGTATTGTGCGTACTACGTGACGGCTGAGCTCTTTGTTGCTTGTGTAGGCATAAACCAAGCTATTGTTCTTGTGAATCCATCCATTTTCTTTCAGATCTGTAAGGAAATTACTACTAAACGGAGAAAAGAACATAGAGGGTCAAAAATCCCATCAAGATCTCTGTGGAAACCTATGCAATTAAAGAAGATGCTCATTTACAGTTACCCAGAGATCTGTTTGTAATCAGCTAGTCAATTAATCTAAGTTCCATGGTATTTTTTTTGTTTTGTTCTGTAAGTCTCATAAGCAAAATGCTGCTTGGTACCAAGTACAGATCTTAGAGAAATCTGTCTCCTTGGTCAGTACTATCATCTATATCAAACAAATACCTGATTTTCTCAGAAATGTTGTTAGTTCAATATTATGCATCTTTTTAATCTCTAGTTTTATGGTTATTATAAGCAAAGAACTGGAAAGCATTGATTGATAGGCCAGTTGCTTTCCCTGGCATTGCTGTGGCCCCTTGGCTTGCCCTGGCATCACTGTGGCGTGGATAGGTCTCTTAATTATTCCAGTCAATCCATTCGCTCATTTTGAATGCTGGTACGTTTGCCCAGTCTGACGTTTCATTGCCTTTCAAGACCTGGGAAAGGCATTGCTGATGCTGCAGACAATTTTACAGGAGCTCTCTAAAAACTCTTGGATCGGAGTTAGTCATAGCTACTCGTTTACTGTCCAGCTCCTTACGTAGTGGCTACTTATCTCGGAGTTATGTTGGCTCAGAGTGCCCCAGCTTCAGTCCGTTCCTGTAACACCACGTGGCTGCCATGAGACCTGCTTCTCATCTCCTTGGCTGCTTCTACCCCACCTAGGATCAGCTCGCTACCGTAGTTAGGTTTGCTACCCTTAGCACAGCAACTCAGTGTTACTGTGAGTTGCTAAAATATTTGCTCTTTTTAGGAAACTGCTGGGAGGGTTGTTAAGCTCCTGACTGGTTTGGGCTGCTGGCACATGATGGGAAGTTGCAGACCCTGCCGAGGGAAGCAGGCTTTCAGAGCCTGGTAGCTGGAGGCCAGCAGTTTATGTATTTCCTGCATATCGGATGGCTTTCTACCCAGCTGGGAACGCTGCCTGGTCACTTGCTTTCAGGTCCTGTTTGTTCTTTTCCTGTCCTGGTTTTGTGTACTGACCTGCCTGCTGAAGGAGGGAGACGCTCCTATCTTTGCTAATTTCTTGGAAATGTTCAAGGATGGTGTTGCCCACAATCTTTGTATATTTTTCCTAAGCAAAATCTGGCCTGGCTGAATGCTTTCTGAAGTCATATTCCCAATTCTTTTGCCTGAGTTATTTATTTGTGCATGTTGTGCCCTGGCACACATTGTCTTCTGTCTCCTCCAGTTACCTGCGCAGGTAGCAGCAGTCGGCTCCAGCAGGTTTGATGTGTTGCTCGACTGGTCTCACCACCCTTGGCTGAGGGCTGTGAGTGTACAGAGAGGCCCTTCTTTCTTTGAAACGAACAGTGGTTTTCTAATTAAATGCCTGTATTTCTGCGCAGCTGAATGGCGCCCTGGCTGTAAGGGGGGATGTCTGCACAGAGGCACCCCACAGGAGTGGGTTCTGGCCACATAAACCTGCTTTTTTGAGTGCCCAGCATCATGTCCGCCTGGTGAAACTGAAACCAAAATGTGCAGCTGTTTGCTTTCCCCTTGCAGTGAGAGCGAGGCCTCAAAGGCAAATATTTAATGAGTCAGGAGAAAGGTGGAATTTTCCTGCCTTTCTGTTAATTTAAAACCAAATCAGGGCAACTGGCACAACTCCCTTTTAGAGGCTGTGATGGAGGGGAGGGGGCTCGCTGCCCCTGTGCTGCTTGGGTGTGCTTTGGTCTGCGTTCCCTCCGAGGGCAGCACGAGCGGAGCTTCCTGCCCTGCCGCCCCCCCACGTACTCCCCTTTGGGCGGGAAAACCCGCCGGTATGGCTTGTGTAAGCTGGGTGACTGAAGCAATCAAAGTCTTGCACTGTAAAGTGTAGGAAGGAGAGGGTCCCCGGGGTGAGGGGGTAAGCTGTGAGGGTGAGGGATGGCTTAAGCTAACAGAACTGAAAGAGAGGTAGGTGGGCTTGTACCCCAGAGCATCTGGAAGGATTTGAGAGTTGAGGCTCTGGAAAACTCCAGCCCCTTGTGTTTTACATTTCTTTACGTCCCTTGAACCCTTAAATCGAGGCTGAGTGGTATCAAGAATGAAAGGTGTTAAATGAAGCCAGTGAAAAGTCGGTGATGCATAGATGTAGACATGCTTAGTTAAAAGGAGCCCTGTGTCCCATGTAATGGCTTGTAACGTGTTGTGCTTTTCAGATTCCCTTCTACAAGCAGATGTGCAAGGGTATTCAGGCGGGTGAGATGTGTGAGAAGTTGGTGGGATACTCTGCAGTGTACAAAGTCTGTTTTGGAATGGCCTGTTTCTTCTTTTTGTTCTTCTTGTTCACCATCAAAATCGACAGCAGCAAAAGCTGCCGAGCATACATTCATAATGGGTGAGTATTTGTTTGATTGCTTAATTTCCACTTCTCTTTACAGGTTTGTGCTGCCTACTTTCCAGTCAGGTGTAGTATTAGGCAAAAAAACCAAAACAAAACAAAATTTGATTTTACTGCTTTTGTCAGAAATAATGCGGTCAAGTGAAGACTAACTAAAGTGGCAATCAGTCATCAAAAGCTGTTTTTTCTCTTGTTGGGCTTTAAATAGAGATTTCTCGTGGTACTTGAGTTGAAGACCTCTAATTCCTATCATAAGCAGATTCTTTTTTTTATTTTTCCCCTCTCTTCTTGTCCAGATTCTGGTTCATTAAACTTATACTTCTGGCAGCAATGTGCTCAGGAGCCTTCTTCATTCCCGATCAGGACACTTTCCTCAATGGTATGTCCTTGTTTTGTTATACTGCTTTGTTCTGTACTACCCTGTGAGTGGTTATAAATCCTAAAGGTCTGATCAATGTGAATATTGCCATATTTCTTCAAGTAAAGCCGGTGTGGTCCAGGTGTAAAAGGAGTATTTGGAGCTGTTTGGGGGAAACTCTGTGTGCACCGAGTACATGATCTCTGTGTGCATTAAAGAGCATGGGTTTTCTTTGACCAAGAGGAGGCCAAATGGGTAGGTAAAAATACCACTGCGGTGCTGTCTTGCAAATTCTTGAAGAAGCAGGGAGCTCTAACGGTGCACGAGAAATTGTTCACTCAGGAGCGCAGAGCCGTGTGTTAGTTTGGCTCGTGCAGGTAGCTCTGCCCTAGCGCAGCAGCCGGGGTCCGTGCTGCACGGTGGAGAGCTGCTGGTGCTGAAGGGGGCACGGTGACGTGCCAGGCGCTGCTGTTTGCTGCCTGGAGACCTGCGATGCCACAAAAGAATTTGGGATGTTGTTAGCTTTCAGGCTGGTGGCATAAATGCAGTAAGGTAAAGTTAGACTTCTTGGGGCATGTTGCAAGTGCTCTGGTGAGGATGCTGTGCCTGAAGCATTTCCAGTTTTGGAAGATGCCCTGGCACCACACAGGCATGCTGGTACTGGCCCAGTGCTTAAATGCCAACTCTGGAGAGGGCTTCTCACAGGCCTCTTGTGGGCTAGGAGCAAAAACCCCAGTGACAGCGAGATGAGTTTGTGCTCTTCAGTTCACCAGGGCGGGTGGAAGGCAGTGGGATCAGTAATGCGAAGGAGCGGTTGTGTCTGCTGCCTGCTTCCACTACGGCTTTCTTGGTTACCTGCATTTTCAACACTGGTCTCCTCTAGCCGGCGTGTTTAAAAGGGGAACAGGACAGAGTAACACGGGGAAGAGAACAGAGTGGGCAGACATACTACAGAGCACAGTGCTCTGGGAAACTAAGGCAAAAGCCACCTCAAGTAAATGACAGATAGGTGTAATTCAGCTTCTGCCCCTACTAGCTGTTTGTTTGGTCCTGGTTCAGTTTGATGCCCCAGAAGTGAAGGGCTCTTTATTCCTACTCCTCTGCCAAGTCATGGGGTGGCTGTATGTACTTGTCCTTAGTATTTAATACCTGTTTGGATTAGAAGGGTGTAGCAGTGCAATGCGTTGTACTCATAAGCAAGCGAGACTGCCTGTCACCTTTGCAAGTGACCCTTTGTGTGGTGAAAAGTCGTCAAGAACTGAAGTCTTTGGGGAAAAGGGGAAACAAGTTCTTGTGCTGATTGGAGTGCTGTTTCTCGACAGCAGTCTAACCCAGTGTGGAGATCCAGCATAACAAGCTTTCTTCCCCAAATTCTTCCCCAAAGCTCTTGACTTTTCTGTCTAAACCTGTATTCTGCACATCCTGCTAAACTGTCCTCCAGTTAGCCCCTGAATTTGAGATTTACAGATGGTATGAGTATTGTGTGGTTTCTTTTTCCTTTTTTTTCCCTCCCATCAAGACACTTAAACTTTTTTTTTTTCTGAGCATTCTCCCAGTTTACTTATTTTTTCTTTTAAAAAGAAAGCTTTTGCCATGCTTCCCGTGCTTAGCAGTTTGTTAATCATGGAGGAGGAGTATTACATGCAAGCACTAGGTTTGTGTGGGCTGTGGTGTTAAATCCACACTGGCCATGCTAACCTTGTCTATGATGGATCCATAAAACATCCCGCAGTGTCCTCCTTGTAGCAGTGGGAGATCCTGGGAGTCTAGCTATTTACTCTCTCCATTGGTGGTCTGCTTTTTCCTACTCCACCTCTCCCAAACACACACGCACACCTTGTTCCCTGCCTGTTTTTATGTACTTTTTTACATGCTAGCTTCTTCCATTTTTTGTTTTGTTTGTTTGAAGAACAGCATGCTCATCAAGTACATACAATAAGTTTAGCAAAACTATCAAATGGCATTTTTGCTTGCTTTCAAATAACGAGCTTATGGTACAGTAAAAAGAAAAAACAACTCTACACCATCTGCTAAGGGTAACATGCTCTGACTATTCTGTTTTTCCACTTCACTTATACAAGCTTTTTTCAGAAGGAAAACACAATGGTAGGATATGGCTGAACTTCGCTAACACACTTCCTTGGTCTTTTTCACTGAAATGAGCTGCGCACTTGTTGAAGCTTAACTCGGAAATGCAGAATGGTCTGGGTGTTTTATACAAGATATACTTTATATATACTAAGTTAACAAGATAAGGTTGTGATCAGGAAAGTACATAGTTAGCATTCTTTGAGCAAGGAAAGCCTGGAGCAATTAGGCCTTGAGGAAGCAGTTAATCAAGATACTTTGTGTCCATTGCCAACTTGGTAAAAAGACTCAAGGTCCGTGTATCCTTTACAGAACTACCCTCATTATAGTACTAAAAATCACGTCTCTAGGCTTGGAGACCTGGCCCGCTTGAGACCTTTCCCCTCTGGGCGTGTGCAGTGATTTAAAAGTACACTGTACCTTTAAATGAAAACAGGAGAAGAAGAAACCAATCAGAGGAGGAACAGATTAAAGTATAGCCAATAGGGATGTATGGATAATGATGTCATGTAAGAAATTGTGTATAAACGTATCTTGTTTTGTGCCTGTCAGTGTGCTTGTTTTGTAGGAAACCACCGAGCACCCAGCTTTGCACAAACCTGAAATAAATAAGCAATATCTCTCCTGAGTGTGTGATTATTGGCCTATTGCACACTGGGCAAAGAATCTGCTTTTTGGGACAACACACCTGGAGTCTTTTATAGGCTATGCACTGCACAGCAGCACAATCTGTATATGCGACTAAACATTTAAATAGGTATCTGTATTTCCTCAGAGACTTCTGATGTTGCACATAGGAGATCTGTTGTCTGAAGTGTCCAAACAGCCACCCAAATATAGTATATGTAGGTCAATGGTTAAGTAGTCAAATAATCTGTCTTAAAACTAGTCAGTGAATACCAGGTGTTCCGGTCTCTCTGGGAGTGGCTCGGGACAGCATTTGTAAAAAGATAAGCCCCACCTTTGTTTTTCTGTGGTACTGGAATGAGGAAGAAATTGCCCTCTTTAGTACTGGGTTCCAGTACCTTGCAATTTCAGGGTTTAGATTCCTGTGAAATGCCTTCACACCACCTCCCTCCCGCCAGTCACAAATAAAGGTTTCAGTATTTTCTGTCTGAATATAGTAACTCATAGTCTCCACAGAAATTTCCTAGTTAGGGAAACTTGGTAAATGTCCTAACAGGCTTATTTTGAAAATGCAGCAGGTTGCAAGCTGAATTCATCAGGGAGCTAATCTTGAGTTAGCTGAGCTGGCCTTTCAGCTGAAATCTCTCATCTGCTGCATCTGTGGGCTTGAGATATTCAAACCGCATAACAGCTTCACTGCATAGACAATAATTCCATTTCATCTCAAGGGAAAGGCAACTGCAGTTTGACCTATTTTCTGCCTCTCTGCCTTGCAGCCTGGCGCTACGTAGGAGCAACAGGAGGTTTCCTTTTCATTGCCATTCAGCTCATCCTGCTTGTTGAGTTCGCACACAAATGGAATAAAAATTGGTATGTGTTTGGCAAGTAGTTATTTGCATAAAATTCTGGCGGTCTCCTGAAAAATACATTACTTGTAACAGAATTTAAAGGTATCGTGGACGTAATTTCTGAAAGAAGACATTTTAATGTCAATATTTAGAGCTGTTCATCTTTGCTTCATCCACTTTCTCCTTCCCCAGCGGAGATGTTTCCTCCTTATTCACTTCTACTCTGCTGACTTATTCTTACCCTGCATTGCTCGGCCTCCAATAAGTAGTAGCATGTTAGGATGCAAAAACCTCTTACTTCAGGTTGTTTTATATTTTGTATGAAAATATACCTGCTAAGAAACAGAGTGGTGCAAGAGAATAAAACTAGATTTGAAAAATGTAACCCCAAAACTGTGTGCAGTGATGTAAGCTGGTAAATCCTGCTTTTCTGTGTCAGCTTAATGCACATCAATTTTTTTCCTCAACATGAGAACTGCTGCTTTCTCTTCAGCTTCTTTACTTCCATCTAAATATGCAAGATTCCATTATCAACCCACATATACCCCATTTTGGCACTGACTTAATTTCTGGTTTAAGCATATTTGCTATTACCTTCTTAGCCTCTCATTAATTTAAAATGTCTAAATTGTCCTCCCACATATATGCAGGAACTCCTGCCTCCACCCTTTCTGTCTCTCATTTCTTCCTCTACAAACCTTTGCAGTCCTGTCTTGTTCTAGTTAGCATACTGACTGCTAAGAAAGAGTTTTAGCAAATCTTTGGGCTTTGTTAGATACCTGTTTTCAGGGAGGAAGAGGTAAGATGTCCTTATACCACAGATATTTTTACTGCTAATTACTGTAGCTGCTTTTATGTGGATGAAAGATTTCCAGCAGCAGCATTTAACTTTAGCACTTTCTACATTAGATATTCTTTTAAAATAAGTCATGTTTCCACAAAACAAAACAACAACAAAAAGCAAAAAAATCCTTACATGCACCAAAAAGCCCATTGTGCCAAAACAACTTTTTTTAGTTGCTACTCCTAAAAAAACCCTGTGATCTTTGCAAGAGGTGTTTGGAAGGTGAAGAGAGAAAAACAAGATGGACCACACTTTAGCTGAGGGAGACTGGTAGACCCAAATGGAGAGTAGGCTTTTTGAGCGAAAGGGTAGTAAAACTGTCAAGGTAGCGCAAGGGGCAGAAGAGAGGCTGTGCGAAGCAATATGCCTTTGCTGTCCTTGTCTGAAGAGCACCTCTTGCCAGCTGAGCCTGGGGCACTCTGAGTTCCCACTGAGGAAATCCATGAAGTATTGAGCTGAGATGCGCTGATGGGATGATCCCAGAGGTTGGGAGTTCTTGGAGTCATGCTGGGCTATAATTACAGAAACAGCTGGGCAGGATAATATAGAAGATAAACACTAATGCTAAGGAATGTTTCCCTCTGTTTCATGGGAGTAACCTTGCAAGGGCCTGTGTTGGTGTAGTGACATACACATCCTTCAGCAAACTAAGCACTGTCTTTTGTGTTTGAGGATATGAACTATCCAGCTATTAGAATTTTACTTTTTGGGGAAGGGAAGACAAAGATAAGGTGCTTGTTGTTCTTTCCGCAGGACTGCAGGTGCAAACCATAAGCAGATGTGGAGTGGTTTGCTCGCCCTGGTCACTCTCATCTTGTACTCCGTTGCTGTGGCAGCCCTGGTCCTCATGGCTCTTTTCTACACGCGCTCAGAGGGCTGCATGTACAACAAGGTCCTGATTGGTGTTAACGGTGGCCTGTGCCTCTTTGTGTCGCTGGTGGCGATATCGCCCTGTGTCCAGAATCGTGAGTCCACTGACCTCTTCTCCTCCTGGGTTTCTGGTGCTGCCACAGTTGTGTGCCTGGAGGCATGAGCCGTGTTCTGGGCAGAAAGTCTCATGATAGTTCAGAGCTGGTGCTGTTCTTGCCTCTATCACTTTATCTACTGTATGTTGCTGTTGTTGCTAAGTGTTGTTTTAGCTCAGCTGCTAAAACTATAGTGGTGTGAGACATTTTGAGTGTGCCATCAGGCAGTCATACGCTAAAGAAGACTCAGGTGCTGATGGCTGGTAATGTGTTGTGGAGCTCACACAGCTCTTGCAGTGGTAGCAGTTGAGGTAATAGCTGTCAAACTCATTCACTGGTGTTCTACCATTTACTTTTGACTGCTTGTGATTTACCATCTGTAAAGTTTGGGTCTGGAGAAGTTGACAGTAGTATTTCATGCTTTGCTATCTTTTATGTGTACTGTTAGTATCTTGCATACATTGGACTTGGAAATAGTAATTTGAGTGACTCCAACACAAATTTTACAGGCAAATAAAACTATCAGGGCAGCTTGTCAATAGCTTTTAGAAAGCTGGTGCTTTTGGTGAGAGCAGAGGGGTGATTCTTTACTTAAGTAGGAATCTTTAATGCCTTTCTAAAACAGCCAGCAGAACTAAAGGACAGACTCTTTTTCTCTTTGCATGCCAGTGGAAATGTATCTAAACTGTCTCAAAGACTTATGAACTGCTTTAAGTAAAACACAAAAGATACTCTTCTCTTCTGTAAGATACTAGTGTACTGTTCTTTAAAGGATATGAATGTCTTTTTCAGTTTGTTAAAATGTCTGCAGAAATCACTTATTTTCCTCTTTCTTGTAAAGGCCAGCCCCATTCTGGTTTGCTGCAGTCAGGAGTTATCAGCTGCTACGTTATGTACCTCACTTTCTCAGCACTATCCAGCAAGCCACCAGAAACTAGTAAGTTATCTAATGCTTTATGTAAATTCTTTTAGACAGGCCATGTATTAAAAGCAAGAATTTAGCAAATCTGAATTAACAAATTCAGGGATATAGGAGTGCTGGGTTTGGTCTGTTCTGGCCTATGCAGAAGAAAGTGCAAATACTAAAAATAAATCTCTGCAACAGAGAGACCATGCAGTTGGCACTCTCTGTGTACCTAAAATCCTTTGGTCTAGAGGAGCTTAACTTACCTTGGGTGAGTTGCATCTGTTGCACCAGAGCAATTCCAGCCTGTTTCCTACAGACAAATTTCCCAGAGTCTTGTAGCCTGTCCCTCTGACAAGTGCGTGTTCTTGTACGACAGGACATGACTAAATACATAATGTGTTTGGTCACATGGTGGGAAAAGAGTTGGAACAGATGGCTCTTGGATGCCTCTGGAAGAAGCTGGGTGAACAGCTCCATCCAAAAGTTTACTAGGTCCACCTTGCGAACCAGGCTTAAAGAAAAGGCAAGCTACAGATATTTATTTGCAACAGCCAAAAAGCAGAGTTGCAAATGTCTTTAGAAGTAATGGGCAAACAAAAGCTAATGTCTCTTGAACCTGTGCTTATCATAGTGTGCCTTAGCTTTTTGGTGCCAGACTTGGCTAAAAGGCCTGCCAGACACTGGACCTGCCTTGCTGCAGATGTGTCCCTGACCCAGGTGGGGGATTCTGCACGTCTCTGACGGAGGTGTTTGTGTGTCCAAAGAAGAGCAACGAAGCTGGTGAAGGGTCTAGAGCACAAGTCTTACGAGGAGCAGCTGAGGGAACTGGAGTTGTTTAGCCTGGAGAAGAGGAGGCTGAGGGGCGACCTTATTGCTCTCTACAGCTACCTGAAAGGAGGTTGTAGCGACGTGGGGGTTGGTCTCTTCTCCCAAATAATGAGCAATAGGACAAGAGAAAAGCCCCTCAGGTTGCACCAGGGGAGGGTGAGATTGGATACTAGGAGAAACTTCTTCACTGAAAGGGTGGTCGGCACTGGACCAGGCTGCCCAGGGAAGTGGTTGAGTCCCCATCCCTGGAGATATTTAAAAGACAGGTAGATGTGGTGCTTAGGGACGTGGTTTAATGGTGGACTTGGCAGTGCTAGGTTAACGGTTGGACTCAATGATCTTAAAGGTCTGTTCGAACCTAAATAATTCTGTGATTCTATAAAGACTTGTCATCCCTTCTTTTGCTCCCACTGTTGCGCTGTCTATGCTGTGTGCAGATAAAGCTGTTTGTGCAGCCCTGCAGGGCCGCACAAAGTCCTCCCCCACCAGGTCAGGGAACTGACTTTAAGTTTATTTTTAACCTGAGTGTAGTCTTTGCTACATTTTGCCCTCTGCCCCTACAGATGGTTGTGCTGTCCCAATGGGGATGCAGACTGGCTGCTGGAAGGAAAGAGGAGATGGGAACGCAGTTTGCCTTAAACAGTATTGGCTCTAAAACCTATTGATTTGAGATAAAGGGTAGCTGTAATCTCTTGCTTTGGAGTGATGCTGCAGGCTACTTGCTTTGCTTTGCTTTGACCCCAAGTGGACACTAAAAAGCCAGATGCATCTTGGAACATCGAGGACTGAATTGGTTTCATTTCAGGGACCAGAAGTAGTATTTGCATAGATGCGAAGATAAAATCTTGCCTGGGACCTAAAAGTACTGTATGCTTAGATGGTAAGATAAAATCTTGCCTTTAACTGGAGCATCTCCTTTTCTTTGGTCTGCTGTATATCAGTCTGAGAACAGGGCAGCTACACACCTCCTTTTTTCACCAAGTATGAATTTCATAGTTGTCCTCAAGGCACCCCTGCTGTCAAAGAAATTGATGGTCTCAGGTCTGTACTATCTCGGTGTTATATGGCTCTGTAGTCTTGGGCGAAGTGTTGGTAAACTTCCAGCTTCTTAGTTCACCAGACCGTCTTTTTCCTTGTTTGTCTGCTCTGGTGAAACAAGAAATTTTAGTACCTTACTAAGTTGCATTTTTGTTTCGTCCAAACTACAGAATCTGCCAGGTCAGATTTACAGAATTTTTTTCTGTATGATCTTTTTAAAAGATAGATAGAAAGCACTGAAATGTACCTACCCAGTGCCTGGAGTAATAAAAATACTTAGCTGAAAACCTTCAGTCTGAAGACTGCTTTGAAATGCAGTGAAATGAGCTTTGCTAACTGTTCTCTTTGTTTTCCTTTGTTTTGTGAAGTCCTGGATGAAAACAATCAGAACATCACAATCTGTGTACCTGAATTTAGCCAAGGCCTGCATAGAGATGAAAACCTGGTTACTGGCCTGGGTACTACCATTTTGTTTGGCTGCATTTTATATTCTTGGTAAGTTGGGGGGTTTGCAGTTACTTCACTGTAAATGCAATATTGTGGTCCAGCTAGTGAAGGCTTATAGCAGGCCTTATGCAGACAAAGTAACGGGGAGAGGGAGAATAGAACTGAGCTGGAAGGTTCATATTCTCCTTAGTTTCAGAATGGTTAGATGTTTTAGCCAAAAATGTTCAACAAGATAATATAACTTCTGAAACAAATATATTTCATTAAAACTGAATAGAGCAATTTACATCTAGAGGTGGAGGGAAAAAATTTCCAGCTGTCCATGATCCCAAACACTCTTGGAGTGCTTTGATTCTGTATTTACTTTTTCTATAAGACAAACTCTATGCAGTTATGTCCATCTAAAAAAGCTAACTGAAATGTCTGTAGCCTCCTGGCAGAGGCTGTAACTGTTCCTTGAGGGTTTAGGGCTTTCTTTGAACAAGTGATGAGCACAGTACTGCCATCAGGATTTGCCAGGAATCTCCTGCTCGAAAAGATTCTGTTTGTGCCTGTAGAGTTGTGATGCTTGCCTTATATTATTGCAACCCACATCAATAAATTAAGTCATGCTCTGGGACGGGGAGGGGGGGAGTTGCTGCTGATTGAAAGGTGATGTGTCACTTGTTTTGGCTGTGTGGGTTGCTGGGAGACAGCACTGTCTGTCTGCTGCAGGTTTTTGAGCAGGTTGTGCTTCTGAATCAGTGCACCTCAAAATTCACATTCTGAAACTCCTTCGTAATTTTGAAGTGAAAACGAGGCTTTCTGAAGAGGTAGCACAGCTACTCGTCTGCTATCAAATATGCATATGTGTTCCATTTAATTCTGATACCAAATATACAGGTATCATGTAGCATGGATCGATCTAGTTCACATTAGAACAGTATTTCCAGCGCCTCAGGAAGGTGTTTCAGGAATGCAGACAACATTCACGTAGCCTGCAGGGGAAGTGCACCACATAGCTGGGGAGATAAGAAGGCCTTCAAGGGACATGTTTTGAAGTATTGCTTACTAAGGCTCAGTGAGTACAGCAAAGCATTAACACGCGTCTCCCTGTGGGTAATAAGAAGTTTGCATTACACATCCTGAAAGGTGAAGACTGGGCAAGAGATGTTTCTAATCAGAAGAAACTAGAAAGGATTCCCTCCAGACAACTGCAATCACGCAAGAAAGCGATTTCCAGCAACGGGTGCACTACAATAGTGGTTGGTAATTTACTTTTGAAAACTGCTGCCAAAAAACTGACGCTGAGCCAAAGTGATGGCTGTGAAGTTAATATAAAAGCACTGGTTTTGCACAGCAGGAGAGATCTCTTCTGAATTGCAAATTGGAGTGCTTAACTGTCTGGTGGTGATGAAATCACCACCTTTCAGGAGTGGCCTTTCAGGCTGTGATTCAGCCTGAGTTGGCCAGTGGCTGGCTGTCAGGCTGGTTTATACTTGTGCAGAACAGGCTCCTCACATGCCTAGTGCTTGATGCTGTATCCGGGCAAATGCTTAGCTTAGACATGGGAGCAGACTATGTTTGCTGTGGTGTTGGAAATCACCCTGTTGGGCTTATATGTATGCTGAGGGTTTTGACACTATCTTCTTTTCCTCCTAGTTTGACCTCAACAACACGTGCAAGCTCAGAGGCACTGAGGGGACTATATGCAACACCTGAAACTGAAGTGAGTTCTTGCTTCCTCCCTGCCCTGGTTTCCTCATGTCCTTTTCTTGCTGTTGTTTTCACGGCTAAGTAATCTGTAATTAGGTGAAAACAAAAGCTTGTTAGCAGCATGCATGCTACGTGCCTCTGGGTATGGACTTAGAACACTTGTCCCCATTGGCCCTTATGCAGCTCTTGCTGGTCTCCTGGAGGTCCCTTTATCTACTAAAATAATTTGCTGCTCTTACATTTTATTTAATATCCTTGTTGTTCTCCACACAAGCTCATGCCGTCTCATTTAAAGGAAAAGTCTGCTGGGAAGGTATCAGAAAAAGAAGTGGAGGCATTCTTGAACATTTTCAATCCTGGTTGCCTTTGTTCTCATAGCAACTGATGATGATCCTAAGTTCCTATCTCTTATTTTTATTTCCACGCATACGTACTTTCTTTCCTTTTGCCTAAAGTTTCATCTCGGATTATATTTCTTGTCCCTGTTTCAGCAGTACTGGTTTCTTCATTCCACCTGCCTATTTCTTTGGCCTTCTTATCCTGGGAACACCCAGAAACACTGGGAAACAACTGGGTTTTTGCTAGGTAACAGTTACCCCTTAGGCTTGCTGGTGTCACTTTTCAGATGTACGTCTGTGTTTGAAGGATGAATCTCCATCCCTAGCTCTCTCTACATTAGTGTTACTTGCATCTGCAGTTTTAACTCCTCTTTTTCAAGTCTTTAATCAGGGTGTTTGTGAGAATCCAAAAAGGCAGAAGTATCTGCTGAGGCACTTGGCGTTTGCAGTAGCTGGGCATGGGGAAGCAAAACATGTTTCAGTGTGGGAGCACGTCAGTGCTGGAGGAGCTTCCCTCTGAAAGGATAGTGCAACTGGCCGGGGCGCCGGTGCCAGCGCTGAGAAGCTAAGTGCCTGGTGGCTCCTCGCACCGGCCCCAGCCCTTGCTGGCAGGCAGCCTGCCGGCTGGCCCGGCCCGCCTCGGCCAGACCCGGGCAGGACCTGTGTCTTCCCGCCCTGTGCTCGGGGGGACCGGAGAGAAAACAGCCACCTTTCATGCCCACCCGCCTTCCCCTGCCAGCATTACGCCGTAGGAGGTCTCGTCCAAAAGGCATGGGGCTGCGATGCACCCTGCAGCGGGAGCAGCGGGCAGGTTGGGGACGGCTGGCACAGCGGGGACGCTGGATGCGGTCCCCTCACCAGGAAAGGCCAGCTCCTCTGCCGCAGTGCTTGCCCACAGGATTATTTCCAGACCGTTTGGTTTTAAAGAGCGGTACAAGAGCTGCTGAACGTAAATATAAAGAAGTGACTGGTGAAGAGCAACTAATTGCACTCCGACTGCCTTCCCTGTGGCAAAGGGCCTTTGTCTCCCGGCCAGGAGTGTGAACATAGCTCTGCAGTTGCTTGTGGTGTACAGAGGGTCTGTTGGCATCTGTGCTGAAGACAGCCGAGCATTACGAGGGGCTAGCAGTATGTGTGCCAGCGTTGCTAATTTCATCACTCTGCATGTGCAAGGACTTAATTGCAACTGATTAAAAAGTTTGAGGGAACCCAGCAGTTGCTTCAGCACGTGAGTGCTCAGGCCAGGGCTGTGGGTGGGGCTTGGCACAGCAGTAGAAAGAGATAGGGAATAAGGGTTTTATTTAAACTCTCAGCCAGTCTCTTAAAAAAGAATGAGCTTTTTGGCTTTCATGAGTTTATGAACCCAGTGAGTACATGTAACTGTGGATACACGGGGTAAAAACTGCCTTTTGATGTTTCTATTGGACACTTTATCTTAAAGGCATACTATCTGATTTTTGGGGGTGTTAGCAAAACTTGCAACTGGCCTGGGCCAACCGAGGAGAGAGGCTACAACGCAAAGTATAGAATTACAAGGGTAAACATTTATTCATGCACGTGAGGAGTCCCAGCCAAATTGGGGCACCCCAAATGTGGTTTTAGAGAGGGTTGTTAGAGCCTTCAAGCATTCAGGTGTGGCATGCTTTGACTAATCACTAACACCCACACCACTGATTACTAGTTACAGTAAAACTTTGCAAAGCAACTGTATTTCTGCAGTGTTCTTGCCACTTGTCTATTAATTCAGACATCCCTTGAGTCAGTCTTGCAAAAGTTACTTATTTATGATGCTGGGAGGGTTTCAGAGATGTGTCAGAGGGGCTAGGATGCTGGTATTATCTTGGTTGTCCAGGGGCATCTTTTATCCTTCATGAACAGCTCTAAGCTTCCAAGAAGCAAAGTCCTTATTTCCAGGGCTGAGCTGTCCTTTAGTTTGTTTTACTTAAGCATGAACAATACCAAAGGCTCCAGTGTGAAACTCCACTACCTCATAACATTGCAGTGTATATTGTGAACTAATACACCTTAACAAAGTTAATACACTTTTCATACGATAAAGACTGATCGATATAATAGGGCAGGGAATTTTCCTAACAGGGTTCATTGTCTTCATCAGACCACAACCAAAATAAATCCCACAGTAGGATTTTATCAGAACAAATGATGTTGGTGATACGCCACAGTAGGTGCTGACTTGAACTGTGGTCTGGTGCAGAAAATGCGCTTATGTATTTATTGGATGGTCAGCACCCTTTTCTCATTTACATTACCACTCAACAGAAGAAGTGTCAATTTCAGCTTTCCTTTTTCCATCAGTTAAAAAAAAAAAGAAAATCTTCATTTAAAGAAAGCAGTAAAACCAGCTTTCTGCTTTTACTCCTTCTGCTTGTACTCATTCTAGCTCCATTTCAGCAAAATCTTGCAAAGTACATTTCTGACTTACGCTTGTGTGGTTGTGATTTCCAACCCATGCAGCAGGATTTTAAAAGTTCCTTATACTTTAATTTCAGTTGAGAAATTTTTTATTTAAAAAGCGCTTAGATGCCAGTCTGAAGAGGTAAGTCCCCTCTGAACTACTAATGTGCAACTGCTTTACTGTAGCTTTCCCACCATTTTTTCATAATTATTTGCACCAGTGTATGACCTTGAGTTATGTAAAATGGGGAGAGTAATTCTTAAGGAATGGTTAATTTGCTCCAAATCTTACTGAGTAGGCTTTTCCAAAGCTTAGAAACTGCTGTTATGAACTACTTGGCAAATCCTACTTTGAGTTTCGTGCTGGTTGGAAATACAAACCAGACTTTTCTAAATGAGTGTCTGTAACAGACATAACAGACCTTCCTTCACCAACTGTTCTGCTTCTTTGCTGTAGGACAGACTCTTAACCTTCCTGTTTTCTCTTCCACAGGTAGCTCGTTGCTGCTTTTGCTGCATGCCTGATGGAGACGGTAATTACGGTTTCACTGCACAATTTACCTCACTTGTGCTAAGAGTGTAAGGACACATCTGTAGATGGAGAGTGCTTGTGTCCTTGTCCTGCAGCATATCAAACTGAGGCAGCTGAAGTGCTCGAAGTTAGGCTAGGGAAGGAAGCAAGAGATGTAACAATACCATTTTAAAACAACAGGCCAGTTAATTTCTTAAAGGACATTTCATTACTGCAATATACAAAGAATAATCTCTGCTCTTTGCATGCTCGTGGGTGTGACTGACTCCTGGATTTTTCGCTCAGCAGCTCTGCAGGGACTGCAGTTCAGGAGTGAGTTAGGAAGGGAGTGTCCTGTTTGCAGATCTGGTACAATCAAGGTTATCAGCTTGGACTTGCCAGAATACTCAAAAACTAGCCAGTAGGCCAGGAAGCTGATACAAAGCAGGATATCAGTGGCAGCCCATTTTCTTCTACTAAGGGGTTAGACCCATGCCCTGAGGGCAAGGAAATGTTTGAGTGTTGCTCTGTATCAGGCTTTCCTAGATCACACCGTAGAGGATTTGCTGTGTACTTCAAGAAGCCAGCTGCTGTTTTCAGTTGTCGTTAAAGTCGCAAAAGCTTTCTTGTTTCCTGTCTTACAGCTGATGCTGAAGAGCACGTTGAAAAAAGGAGAGGCCAGACTGTGATTTATGATGAGAAGAAAGGCACAGTGTACAGTTATGCCTACTTCCACTTCGTTTTCTTCTTGGCTTCGCTCTACGTGATGATGACAGTAACTCATTGGTTCCAGTAAGTGTATTTCTTTAAAACTGAGAAATTAATGTCTCCCTGCATTGAGAGGGGAGATGCGAACTTCTGCTGACTTGTGCCGTTAGTGTGTCTCCTCTCCTTAAGTAAGAAGCTGGAAGAGATGTTGCAAGTCTTTCCCAGGCGATTCTTGAGCAAGATCTTGCTCTATGAAGGGCTGCTCTCCCCTGCTTTGTGTCTGGGTTAACCTAGTCAAAGTCTGTGACCCACTTGGAAAAACAGAGGATACTGCAGTCTGAGATATAAATAGTGAATTTATTGCTTCTTTTTTTTTTTTTTCTTTTTTCCCTTAACAGTTATGAAAGTGCTCAGATTGAAAAATTCTTCACCGGAACCTGGTCCATCTTCTGGATTAAGATGGTCTCCTGTTGGGTTTGTGTCTGTCTGTACTTATGGACTCTTATTGCTCCACTCTGTTGCCCAACCAGAGAGTTCTCAGTGTGAACACTCAGAAGGTCCTTCTGTGTTTTTCTCTTTTCCTTTTTTTTTTTTTCCTCCTGTTACAAATAAAATAGAGCAGTCATTTTGTAATGAGGAAACACCTATTGCCCACTTACTTACTGTACCAGTTAGTAACTTTTTAGTCAGACTAAACAAATGATTGAAGACTTTTTTACCTTTTTTAATTGCCATGAACAAGCATTGCCCAAAGGAACAAATCTGTTCCAAAACTTAGTAGCGCTGATGTGTGGAGTGTAGGAAATACAGTTGTTGCATAAACTGGAATAAGTGAAATGCTTTTCAAATAACTGACAGTCTTTCTCTGGCTTCATTGGCAAGAAAAGAAAAAATCATGGTGTAGATGTATCTTCTTCCTTTCTGTGAATGTTGGATATCTTTCTAGCAAATATGCATTCCTTTTTATACTCTATTATTAACTGTCTTTTACAGTTTGCAGTGATGATTTGGACTGCTGTTTTGTACAGCATATAATTCTTGTAAGTAGTATCCAGATAATTTTTTCCAAAAACATAACTAAATACTTCTGTAGAAATAGAGAATATGTAAGAATTTGACTGCCAAAGCATCTACTAAAAATTGTTTATCTAAATATTAAATATATTAAGTTATTGTATACCTAGATTGAGAAAGGAATGTACCAATGATAATAGAGTATTTATTCTGTTATAACTTTAAAAGGCACCTGAATATTTTATGCAATTCAGATCTGGTCCAGTTGTTAACAGAAGGGGAGTTCTACACACAAATTCTTAAACTCTGAATTTTGTCCAACTTTGCTTTGCCAGCTCACTTAAACTGCAAGTTGTGTGTACTGCGCGGGGATTTAAGATATGGTACATTCTTTATTCAGAATGTTTACTGTTGAGAAAATGCTAAATACAGGAGCACTGCAAGTTGCTGTTAACTTTAAAAGTGGAGTGCTCATTCACTTTTCTACCCTGCTATTTCAACTTGGGTCTAAAGATCTCCCAGGATGTTCAGTTCTGTTTCCATTACTAATTTTATAGTATTTTAAATGCATTGATGGTCAGAAAAGGACTATAGTGCGTCATCTTCCTTTTCTGCCTGTGTGTTGGTTGGAAAGTATTCTTTCTAACGGCCATATTTTTATACTCCTCTGTTGATGTTAGTTTTGCCGTTGGGATGGGACTTAGCCAACCAGTCCATTAATGGAGACTAAACTTCTTTTGGAGAACTCCTATTCCAGGCAGTGGGGTAAGCAGTCAGAAAAACAAAACCAGAAGACACAAATTTAACAGCAGCTGCCGTAGTACAAATGACTGACTTGACAACATTAAACCCTACCACGTCACTTTTATTTGCTTTAAGCAGATGATTTGGTGGGAGAACAAGAGCTCAGATGCCCTAAATGTTGAATAAGGTGGTGGGATGAATTTATGACTTATGCTAGTCCCAGAGGTTTTGTCTTCTCTCTCTCTCTATATATACACACATACAATGTGAAATATGCAGGATATAAACAAAATCAACTGATTTAGCAGTTCTCTTTTTGAAATACGACTGAGCCTTAAATCTTTGCCCAATGCTTTCTGCAAAACAAAGAAATGCACAACAGAGAGGCCAATGAGATGGCAAAAATATTTGCATGCCTTATTTGTTCTGTTGCAATAATTGATGGCTAATGCACACCTGGTAAGTGATCCTAATGTACAGATCTCAGTTCTGCTCTTGTTTTCATTACCATTTTTGGCTGCCTTGTTGCTATGGTATCCTAGGGCTTCTGTCCTGCTTGGAGCTTGCTGGGGGTACGATCCTCCCAACCCCATGCACTCCTACCTCAAACGAAATCTACAGGTCTGCAGTCCTGTATACTTATACCACCTGCCCCAGTGATTAGGAGCCTCAAAATACGTCTGTCATGAGATCTGAGGGAAGGAGAAGTCTGTCCAGAGGTGACTCTCTTGCTGCTCTTCTCCTTGTTTGCCCCTAGGGGAGAAAAAGCAGTTGAAGCTTAGCTTTGACATTGAGTTAGGAAAGGAACAAATAGCTCTGGAGAGGCAGGCAGGTTTTTTTCTTTCCTTTTGCTTCTGCTGGAAAGTTCTGATCTTGCCAAGAGCTCTGCTAGCATGGGGGCCCATCAGGATGTCTCTGCCTGCATTTGGAGTCCAGCCACGCAGATCCTTCTGCAGCAGAAAAAGACCTTTGTTAATGCATTTGCAATCTAGAAGCCTTTATCTGTCCCATCTCTAAGATAAGAACTTATGGGCTGTGCAATGATGACTAACAGTTGTCCCACCTAACTCATAGCAGCTCTTCTGACAAACAGTCTTGATCCAGTGGTAGAGCTGTGAGCTGCAGCTGAGATAGTCCAGGCTCTTGCTCCTCCCTTGGCAAATGCTGTTCCCTAAAGTACAGAGGCTCGCAGGAGTTGCCTTCTAGTGCCATATGTGTTGTACTATGAGAAACCAAGCATGTTTGTTTTTTTTAAATTAGCAATGTTTTTTATAACAGAACAATCTGGGCAAGGAGCTCTACAGAAGAAGGCATGCACTATATCAAGTTAGAAGGCAGGGAATGGTAACTCTTCTCTGGTTCTGATAGCAGGCATCCCAGTCACAAATGTGGATGATCCTAATACATATCTTGGCCAAGGGATGTTCTGATTTGTTTACGAAAACGCTTATTTTGTGTAGGCAGTATCTGCCTGCATAAGGACTTCCTGCACCTCCTTGTGCTCATTTTATAGTTTGTATTTAAGGAAATAGGTTTTGCACAGAGGAAACAGGGTTGTAAGAGGAAAGTCCGCAGTGAGGCATGAGTCAGTTCTTCTCACACAGCACTCGCCTCACTGAGTTGCTCTTTCATCCTTCCCTTCCACCAGCTATTGACCTTAAGCATCTAGATCTGTAGGTATCCGTAGGGTGGGAATGGGGCAGTGCCTGACTACACTGCTTTGTCTGCTTCTGAGCAGATGTTGTGGGAACAGACCTGAAAATAACTTCGAGGACTTGTGTGTCCATGCTGCGGCCTCAGATCCAGCTATGGATCTTCAGGCCTTTCTAAGGAATCAGTATCTGGTGGCACCTGGGTGTACAAAGCCTCCCGTTCCTCAGTGCCTCAGAGGCACGGCTTCCTGCTGGCCAGGCAAATGTCACAGCCTTAGCATTCGCTGTAAAATCTGTACTGTGAACTTCCATGTACAACTACTTAATAAAATCCTCGGCTAGGGTCAAGGATTCAAATGCCCAGTTCATAGATTCCAAACAGTTCATGCAAATGGGCTTTTAAAACCTTTTTAAGAAGTGCCTTCATACCTACTGCTGTGATTGATAGCTAATAATTGAGGTGGCACTGGAACTGGAAAACCTGAACTGAGCCTGTGACTGGGTGATGCTGCCTTGTACGTTACATCGGTGCGTACAAGGCACAGCCAGACCTGTGGTGCAGGTGGAAGACCAAATAATCTGTGCTTGACAAACCTCTGGGGATGAGACTGATTCAGATATTACTGTGTAGTGGAAGATGAACTGGGAAAACTCAAAAATAGCCTGATTCTTTTGTAAATAAATGAGTATTTGTTGCTTATATTTACATTTAAACTGTAAAGGGTTAACTTTCTCTCACCGTACCTGAAGGTGCAGGTAACTGCTCTGCTTGAGGCAGTCACTGTGCGGTGTCTGTCCTGGTGTCTGTCCTGCTGTGTGCTACGGTTGTTCATTGAATTTGTTCCTGGATGTAAGTGAGCGGTGCAGCATTTCTGGCTCCTAGGATTTTGGGGCTGTGTGAAGTGAGGAAGCTGTTGTTACCAAGACAGGAAGACTAGAGAACATGTCCTGTACTAAGTTTCCTCTAGTTAAACTTGAATCTGAATTAGTGCTATCGTTCAACAGACTCTTGGAGGAACAGACCGTGTTGGCAGAAGTTAGTTCTGCTGGGAAGCTGAAACAATTTTATTGGCATTTTCCTACTTTTTCAAATTTGCTATCATGAGAAAGGTTATTTGGAACCTCACTGCTGCACTGCTGTCTGAGACTGGAACAATTTTAGTTTTTCTCACGAAGGCAACCGAGCGCCGCAGTTGGGGTAAAATGAACGGGACGGACTCGGAGAGCAAGTCTCTGAATCCAAATAGTTGGACTGACAGACCATAAAACCTTGTGAAGAACGTGTGGAAAGCAGATGGATATGCTTGTTTGCCATTTACCACCTAGTTCCTCAAAGCGCGCAGGCAACCCTTGCAGCTGGATGCTAAGTAAGGAACTCCACTGTGATCACACATCAGAGTTATTACGTGTTTGTGATACTCTTAGCTTTGTACTTCAAGCATTTCCATGAGGTTCAAAAAGCTCATACTTGCCCAGCTAATTCGGTAAATCCTGGCTGGGTTGGGCCACTTCCGTCTGAAACGGGTAATTCAGTGTTGCTAATGTAGGCATAGCCCATAGAGAGGGCTTATCCCCTCACAGAATCATGAACACTGCATGTCTATTTATTTATTTATTTTGTGTTTTAGCACCTTTTTACAAATCTAGAAGCGCTTTGAGATTGTAAGCTATGCACGTATAACTGCTTCATTAGCCACCGGTGCAGCCGTTTCTGGGCTAGAACATTGCTATTAATGAAGCAACTGCTGCACTTGCAAAAAACCTGGTTTTTAACAGTTCTCTGGTTTTGACCAATGCAACAGGAAAACTTGGTAACTCTAGATAGTGCTGCTTGAACTTTGGCTAGCAGCCCAAAGGATCATGGGCATCTCTGAACAGATTGCTAACAAAGTAATCCACTGACGGCTTTTAAAACATGCTATAAAGATTTTATGCTATAAACTGTTAGGCTTTTCTCCTAAGTAAGTTCATGAAGCAAAATACCATGAGATTGTATCTGTGTGGCTAGATGAACGAGATTATCTGCAGCTAAAATTTTGCTCTCATCTTTCCTTTTGGGCTTTAGAAGCAATATCTTTTGCTTGCAGGCTGTATCTCCTTGTTTTATTTGCTTTTTTCTCCTTGGATTTGTATTTTAAAGGCATTGTAAACCTGCTTCACTCCCATTCTTCTTCCTGTCAAGTGGGATGTCTTTGGTGCTAG